AGAAACTAGGAAGATGCATCTAGTCGCCTATCTCTAGGATTCTGCATTGACACGAATTCCAAAATAGGCATTGGAATTTTCCGCCTGAATGTATAAAAATTAATTTTTATCGGATACTTTTAGGAGTGTGCATCCAAAACGCCAAGGCAGGCGCACGACCAGTTAGGCTGCTGGCAAGGTTGAGTAAAATAGAATTATATCACTGTACAAAAGCATAGCAGTCGTTCAGAATCATACAGCTTGTCAGATTCCAATGAGTGTATACTGGTATTATTGGCATCCCGCTCCTATAAAACACGTTAACTTATTTTCAGCCTTGCGTTTTCGAATGGTATTTTTTGGCGAAATATCGAAGAGATGCCTTGCTAACGACATGCTAAATTAATCTGTACCATCCAGTTCTGGCATTCTAAGCATAACCGAGGAATTAAGAGGATGCGATCGTCTCGATGACCACGTGCTGTAAGCAGTCTTTAATTGACAAAGAAGAAGGAAATTGAACCAAGTGTATCGGATACATGTGTTCGCTCTGACGAAACATGTGGGTTGACAAAAAATCAATTACCAAAAATTTTCTTTCACAAAAATTGCTGCTGTGGTCTGATTTTGAACCCGCATTGCAATGTACGATGAAAAGGGTATCAACGTCTCTGACCACTCAACAACGTCGACACTCGATTTTGGCGAATAAATTGGTATACAACCAGTAAATAACTGCTACTTCGGCTGGTTAGCAAATTTTGCTATTTGTTCCCTTCCCGCACTACGCGCACAAACTCTAATTAGCTTACCGAATATAGGCTATGAGGACAAACCCAGTACTACATCGCTGCTGGACGCCGCACCAGAAAGTGGTGATAAAGAAGCCGCTGAGTTCATAAGGCCAAAGAGGAAGAGTTCTAATAAGAGAAAACCGTTCACGCGTTTGGATATAACCACCAATGGTTAGTTCAGCTGGAACCATCGAACCAAGTGTACCGGATACAAGTGTTGACTCACTCGAGTCATAGGCAGAATTGAGTTGTAAAGGGGTCCCGGAGTCAGCGTCCGCAATCCCAAGTGAGCGAGATGGCCATGAGGGGGATCTCCTAAAATTATATGCCGCAACGTTGCTAAAGGAATGTGAGGCATTCCGCATTTTCAAGGCATATCAAATAGGGAAGGCCACGACAACACCAGGATCAAATCTTCTGCCGCGACCTCTCACATTTATTTTAAAAACTGAAGCACAGGCACTGCTCTTACTAAAGAGAAAATAATCCTTACGGAGTCTGCATTCGAAATTTTTTTTCAGCTGGATTACGAGCTGAAGGAGCAAATGAAAATGCCACAGTTAATAACAGAACTGGAAAAACGGAGGACCAACAGCGAGAGACATCTCAAAATAAGGGACAGACAAATAGTCCACACCAAAAGACCACTCCTTTGGCCGAAGGCAGTCATCATTACAGCCTAGCTGCCCTGTCGCAGAAACCAAAAATGTGCCTCTTGAAACTGTTCGTTTTAAATGCCAAGTCTTTGCTTAATGAGATGCCTCAAATCCAGTTTCTGAGTTTCGTTCACCGTAGAGACGTTGCCATATTAACGGAGACATGCACAGTACATAGCGTAACTGGCTATGCAGACTATTTCTGCGATAGGAATGATCGGCTCGATACCCGTGGTGGAGGCAACTGCATCTATGTTACGCAACCACTCACAGTTCTGTCATACAACTATCCACAATTATCGCGGTAGAAGAGAACTGCTGGCTCTGAGTTGTTAAATAAATAATAAATAAATAAATTTTATATTTTAGGCCCGAAGGGCCTCGTCATTGCGTTCTAAAGGATAAATACTCCTTACTCCACCAATTTCAGTGGGGACTACGATCTTTGTCTCTCGCAGGCCTTTCATGCCGCGGCTGATTTAAATCTTAAGTACCGCTTAATTGCAATTGACTTCAATCTTCCTTTAGTTCAACGGTTTACATCCTCCGGCTATTCAAAGTTTTTAGTCTTACTTGAGGCCGTAGACATTGGCATGTGGGATCAGGTAGTTGATTTTCCCATCAGAGGAGCAAACATTCTTCATCTCATTTTCTGTAAAGGTTGCAAACCATTGTCAGTGTCAACTTTAGACGCACTTGGGAGTTGTCATAGCGACACATTTGCTTGGCTGCTCCAAATAAATTGATTAGGGCCGGCCTGGACGTGTGCGGCTGAGTTTGCAGAAAAACATCAATCTCGACTCCCGACGGGGCGTCGGTAACCACGTTTCCCTACTCATGGGCATGATGAGCGACTCAGGGAAAACAGTGCATTAAAGTCGAGTTGGAATTTCGTGAGGATTTTGTCAGCCGGATAAGAAGCAGTTGATAAGTGTTTAGATCAAGTCGGGGTCACCAATTTGTGGCGGTCTAAGCAGTGTTTGTATTTGGATCACAATATAATCAGGCCGAATCCCGGGAGTTGTATGTAAAAGGCAAGAATCACCAGAAGGAGCGCTTCGTTGTGCATAAAACCCTATGATGCTGTCTCAGACAGCAGCGGCTGCTGGTGAATCCGAAGGGAAGGGAAGAAAATGGAATTGGTCCCACATTTCTTTACGAAAAGGGTTTGTTCTTTAGAACACCGCAACTCATCCTACCCACAGAGTTGCAAACTTAGTAACCTCGATTCCTTGTGGCCGTACATTTAATCCCGTTAGTATCCTGGAACAGCTTCACCACTCTCGGTGCATAAGCAATCGAGGTGTTTTTATTTCCTCCCGTAGCACGCGCAGTTAGATACTGCCAGCATTTTTCAGTGAACGCCATAGCTATCTGCGATATGCTACACAGGTTGTCAAAACTCAGCAAAGCTACCCTTTGTTTAAGAGAGCTATCACTAATTTCCTGCATTCAGCACAAGTTTCACGAATTTTGGGTGCTGATTCGGTGGAACCTCGCTTCCACTCTGGTGGCGTTCGTGGACTCTAAATCCTGTGCCAGGCTTCGTGTTGAGGGCAATGGAACTGAATCTAAAGCCTGCAATCGGCGAATTCCTCAACCGGCAGCGAGCAACCGTCCGCCGACATATAGTCCCCCGGCGCAGAATACCGGATCCGTAACACTCAAGGGAGACTGAGAACACTGCGTTCATTTTTCAAAGTTTCTCCGTCCCGAAATTCAAAGAGCTGCAGTTTTTTTCTCCTAAACCATCAGAGAGAAGGATTTGGAGTTTTTTTCACTGTCATCTTGATCCCTTACTGTATGTCAGTTTTGACCTTGCCTGTAAACAAGCCATAAATAAGTTTAACCTAATAATTTTACAATTCAAATAATTTGTTAAAATATTAGCGAATGCGACCAAACACGGCGACCACAGGTTATGACTGACTCCAGGATTTTAGCACATATC